GTCCAAGCATCGTGACACGTGGCCTTCGACTCAAAAGCGCCCCAGACCTCCCTTGCGCCCATGGGAAAGAAGGTGCGCCTTTTGTTGCGGTGGCTTATCTTGGAGGGACGCTACCGCTTTAACAAACGGGGCAACACTACCAGAGGTCTTGGAAGCAATGCATACCATGAAAAGCCCTCTCAAAGGCAAACTTCCCGCTGGGAATGTAGGACATGCATGTTTGGTGCGCCTTGGCAAACAGGCATCCTAGACCATTCCAAGGGCAGCCTCCCACAGGCCATGCTTGGAGGGGGCCCTCTTCCTAATTTTCAGGGTCTGCGCCCCGCAGGCGCTATACCCACAGGGCGTACATACTTTCCCTTGGACCAAAGAAAGTGGCAACATGTCAAACCTCACTAGCAAAATGGCTCGAGGTTCCAGCGGTAGTAGGGATTAGGACTAGTTTTGAACAACCCCCACTAGGTCCTCCAGTACAGAGGTTAGAATAGTTATACCAACTTCTCTCTGTAGTAGGGGAACCCTCCCCCCAAAAAGGGGGGAAAGGGCACTACTGCGGGACCTAGCCTAACTTCCTGAGAAACAACAAATATGAACTGTGTCTGGGCCACTCACGATGCAGTCCAGAAACTCAGGGCGTAAGAGCCCCAAACATGGCTGATTTGGTTTGCTCACCGCAGCCAAGCCGCTCTCCACGTTTCCGATGGATGTTGGCCAGCCTAGGCGGAGGTTTGTCGATGCAGGGCTTTCGAGTTGGGCGCGATAGCCGTCCTCCGAATGGCTACAAGGAGAAAGCCGTGCACTACCCACGAGGTAAACCAGCGCCGCCTCAAAAATCCTCAAACGCGAATCCCAGCAACGCAGCCACCTGGTTAGATCCGCCCCAACTGTGCTACCCGCCACTTCTGTTTCTTCCAAACAGCTGAGTGACAACCTAACCAAGGGACCCTCCCCCAAAAAAGGACACCCGCCGGGGGGGGGGACGGAAGAGGGAGGCCCAGCTGCAGCTTAAAATAGATTTAAGGGGAGCTCTTAGACCTCTGAATGTCGACCCCAAAGTAATGAACCTGTCCTATTAGCAGGTTTCCCTGGCCTGGGATTCAGACGACTTTTACAGGGGCCCCCCACCCACTGATTGATCGTCCCCATGGCTATAACTCAGATGCCCATGGGAAAAAACGAAAGGCATCCTTTGTTGGTTGGTTGAGTGTAATTGAGTCGGAGCCCTTCCCAAAAAAGAGGGACAAGGGCGGAATCCACAGGGCAACTTGGCTGAACATCCCACTTAGCAGGAGGAAGGGGCCACTGGGCATCTGAGTTGTAGCCATGGGGATGATCAACCAGATACCACCCAGTCTCTAAACTGGGATAACCTACAAGTTGCAGCTCGAGTCTCTCACCAAAAACCCGCCAAGGGGCTTCTTGCGCAACCAGCCGTCAGAGGAAGACACCTGGCGCGAGCCAACGTTTTCGCGCGCGACCCACCGTTTCCAGCCTCATACGGTTGGGTTCTGCCAAAAGGGATACGTGTGCTTAATCGTTGCTATACTTGGCCCGCAGCTGTGGTAATTACACAGATCTCTACCCTGCAATAGCTGGGGAGGGAGGATAGCAGAAGCGCACGAAATCCAAACGGAACCGCTCTGAATGGCCCGAGCCAATGGCGAGGGCAAGCAGGAGTCATTTGGATGGCTCGGTTTATTGAGGCTCGGTACCCGTTTTGGGAGGGGGGGATTCTTGGAGGGAAACCACGAGGAAAACTGAAATCTGTTGGGTCCGATTCCAAAAAAAGGAACACCCATTTTGAGAGTCACCTGGATGGACCCAGTTGTTACATACCTGAAATCCACAATGCTCGCTGATAAGCCATGTGGGTGTCGGCCCCCAAAGGGTGGGCTTCGTTTTGGCTTCCTTGCGAGCCACCAAGACTGAGAGACCCTCAAAACAAGACAGATCCAATATCCTAGCTGGTCGTCCCCAAGTAAACTGCCCGCTGAAACCAAACAAATTCAACACGACGTGAGTCACAGTCAAAGCCTGGTACAAAAATAATATGGCTTGCCAAAAACATGCTACTAGTAGGGCGGTCTCCTACTACCCCATCCTATTTGCTTGTGGCTCATGACCACATATGGCCATGGGTGAGGGGGAAAAAAAAACACTAAAATAGGTTCCAAAATGGGTGGTGCACCTACCCCCCAACCAAAATGGGATCCCAAAACGGTTTTGACAACCACGGCCATATCTTCACAACTTCTTCTTCCAAGGGTGGAATGCCTCCAGAGCGTCTCCACACTTCCAGTTGGGTACCACACACGTGTCCTTTTAGGCAAATAGATGGGTTTCCCTGGTAGGTGATTAAACCACCAGGTAAACCACTGGAACCTATTTTTCCGCCACAACAACCAAAAAGGACACCTATGGCACCATAGATTTCATAAGTGCGCGACATTCCTACCGTGGATGGACGAAATCCGTTCGCACCACTTTGAACCACGGCGAACCATGGTTCGTATTCACAAGGGAATCATCAATCCAGGGGTTTTTAGGTGGTGCAGGATTTCGTCCATCTAAAGTAAGACCATCAAGTTGTTGCCACACTCGGATGACCGCCCCATCCCTAAGTGAAACTTCCCTGCACATCGGCCACATAGGGGAGTCAGCAACCAGGGATGACCACCTTTGACTCGAGCCGGCCATCCAAGCACACCTTCAATCTCGAATCATCTTACCCTTTGGTGATTTGAATTGCCTTGGGGATTTGAGCCACTTGACGAAACAAAAGGAAAGCGGCCCAGACCTCCAAAAACCAAAGGAAGGCTTCAAACAAACGGCTCACCGAAATCGCGGCGCGCTTTTTCTTTCTGACGCCGCCGCGCAGAAGCGAGCAAGCAAGCTTCGAGTTGAAAAGGAGACCACTGAGTTGACCGGCCAAAAGTTCCCAGTTGGCTCCTAAGCCTCGACTCACTTCCCAGGTGGGCAAGCCGTGTCCAAACCAGTTTGCCAGATTTCCAACACGCCCCGGCCATGAGGAAGAAATAATCTTATTCGCCGAAAACGGAAAGGATGAAAGGCCGGCTTTGGGCAACTGACAATTAAATTCATACTCTTTTGCTGGTGGTTCCCCACTCCCGGAGAGAAACAAAACGCGAAAAAGGGCGCAACTAGAGGCCGACCAGAGGCCGACTACCAAGCTGAAGTCCTGCAAAAGCTGCGGGAGGCAGCGGAATCACATCTTCAACCCATAAGTTCAAGGTTCAATGTGCCGGGTCCTTCTCCCGGTGTTACTTTTTTTGCAAAACCAGGACTCTGGCCTGTTTGATTTCCTCTTCGCCCCCCCCCCCCACCCACAAAAAAACGGACACGACAAATGTGGCCATTTGCCACCCAGGGTCCAAAGGCCGACGAAATGCGAATATGGAGACACCAACTTGTCGAGGAAATGATCCGGCCAACCCAGTTGGCTTGCGCCAGGTCGGGCTCCCATCTGTAGAAGGTAAAACGCCTTTTTGGGCCCCCAGCCGGACTCAATCGGTGCTTCCGTTGGTGGGAAAAATGGATTGCTCTCACTTCACGGACCTGGGAATCACCTTAGCTTGACTTAGGTCTGTTCAGCTCCAGGTGGGAGGAACTGACGAAAACTGGAAACCCGAAAAAGGGAAACCCAAAAGTTCCAAAAGGCTTCAAGGCCGTCTTCGGACTGAGTGCTCAGAGTGCTCATACTTAACATCTCCCAACCAGTGACACGAAAGGTAGAACAATTGGAACCCTCAGTGTCGATCTCAACTTCCCAACCCTGGGAGCTTTTTGGAACTGGTTTCCATCACACGTCTCAGTCCCCCCCCCCAAAAACCGCCCCCCCCCCCCACGTTTCGAAGTTGGGATCCAAGAGCTGGGGTCACGATGCTTGGAATGCCCAGGACTTGCTGCAACGGCCCGGCAAAAAGCTCAGCTGGTTTTTGGGGGGGGTTTAGTTCGGAAAACCGCAACTTGATGTCAACCAAAAAGTTAGAGTCTAAAAGCTTCCCCCTACCTTAACGTGGTGAGGGGGGGTGGGGGTGGGGGGGTTGCATTTGTTGCGTGGGGGTGGGTCTAAAGGTCCAACCCAACAGTTACGAGGACACCCATGAGAAAGTTACGACCCTTTCCGCTCCAGGCCACGCAGGCCGCGCGCGCAGGCCGTCCTTTGCAGACGTGTAACATGGACCATCCCCGTGGACGTGGAAAAAGGGGCGGAGGCCAATCGGGCGAACACCCACCAGCCTCAAGCTACCCGGAAAAACAAAAAGAAGAACCACGTGCTGCTTCACTCTCTGGTTGCAAGCGGGAACAACGCGGGGTTCCGTAGAAGTCCCAAACGAAACCACGACACTGAAAGCAAAACTCAATGCAAACTCATGCTAAGATTGCCCAAAAGCGGATGCTTTACTCACTCCGAAGAGGGGAAACACACAGGAAGACGGTCCACCGCTGCAAACCCCTAAGCTGTAGTTCAGCTCAATTCGCTGTTCCGCTTTGGTTGCAAGACCGCCCGCCAAATGAAGTTCCGTCAAAAGATGTTGTTCACAGTAAGTACGTTCGAATTTAGAGAGTCCCCTATCGTTTTCCAGCGTTTGGGCTATAACACGAAGGTATCGTTTGTTTGAGAGTCCCCTGTCGTTTTCCATGCTTTCAAGCATCTTGAGCTATATGGATGTCTAAGTGTAGACTACGTTCCTTCTCCGTAAATTCTGACCGCTTCAAATGGGAACATACCTTAGACTTTTCCTTCAGCCCGTGTGCTCAGATTCTGATTCGAAAAAGCAAAGGACTACCCTAAAATGTAAAATCATGGTGGAGAAAACCCTAATACTATAAGGGCTCAAGTATCCAAAATGGGGTTGCGAGGTACTTTAACCCACATTTCGTCATGAGAAGCGGAAAATGGGTGTAGTCATTCATTTAGCCTTTTAGTAGCCCCAGGGAGGATGGTCAAACATGAACCATTGGGCACTGCATCCGGATCAGTAGGGGAAGGAGATCAGCTTGCCGAGGACTGGGAAGATGGCAAAGGTGATGCCCACATCCAGGGATACTCCTGGCCATCGCAGGGCATTTCCAGGTATGGGTTTTGGAGCTGTGGATGACGCAACTAGGTCTTCCAGTAGAGAGCTTAGAATAAGGGTACCTGTTGTTTTTCTTTTTCCTGTAGTCTAGTAGGGGAACCCTCCCCAAAAAAAGGGGTGAGAAAGGGACCTAGGCAACATACCACCACAGCAAGCTTGAAATGCAGCATGGACCGGCTTCCTGCATCCAAAAAACGCGCACCTGCAAATGCCCTTGACCGTTGTGCTGCCCTCCATTCTAGGCCTTCAACTCGTTTCTCGCGCGCAAGTTGCGCGACAAATGCCAGTCCAAGACCATCTAACCAGAAATGACTAGAAGCAAAATCTTGGTTGACGTTGGGTTTGGGGAGCACAAATTCTCAAAGTTTAGCAGTTCAGTGGATTTGGATCTCAACATCACTCAACCACAATTTTAGCAAAAATTGGAAAAAGGTTTCAACCAACACCAACCATGAAATAAGGCCAGTGGCTTTTTCGCTGGTGGGGTTTCAAGGCCTGCTGTCTTTGTTTTCTTCTTCTTCTTTTTTGCCGATCCTTTCGTTTTCTTCTTGCTTCTTCTTTGGGGAGGGGAGGCTCGGGTAAGAGACTCTTAGTGACCGAACTTCCACCCTCAAGCGCCGAGTCTCGGATCATGCGCGGCCAAGTGCCCGAGTAGAAGAACATGGGGCCCTCCTCGGTCGCGCCAAATTCGAAAATTCGCTCTCCCGAGAGGAGGTCGAATTCCTGACTCGAGACCTGCACTTTGGGGAAAGAAAAGAGTTCGAGCTATTTTTTGGACCGATTTACAAAAGTGGCAACACCGAAATAGGAAAACCCATTGGTGAAAAAAGAGGGGGGTTGAACAGAGTGCAACAAGTACAAGCTTGTTGGGGTGTCTGAAAAGACCCAAAGAGACAGAACCAAAGTGGGCAAGGGCAAGATTGGTGAAGTCTGGCAATGTAACGGGGTCCTTTGCTTTTCGGAAATCGACCCCGGCCACTAACCGGAACCTGGGGCGAACTTCTAGAAGAGAATCGTCATCAGAACCCCCGTTAGGTTCGAGACGTTAGCGGATGTAAGGCTCAGTGTTGCAAGCCTCGGTGGTTTTCTGCTCCCCTTTTAAAAAGCGAATAACTTTTAGTGCTTTGAAAACCCAGTTGGCAACTCATATTGTTTCAGGCCTAACATCCCTTGGCAGAATGCACCAAAGAAGCCACGCAGGAACGCACAATGCAACCTGGAGCGAGCAGAGCTGGCATACGCTTCAGGGTGTTTTCTTCTATGTGCCTTTTCGCCTGGGAAAAAAACAACTTGAGTGCTGTAGATCCCCCAGCAAAAAGTTAAAAACTGTTTGCTGGTTAAAAGGAATTATGAGGGGCATCCAAAAAGTTAAAGCCTAAAGATCCAACCCAATACCAGTAGAGAAAACATGCATATTTCCAGTAGTGAAACTGATTCCCTTCAAATCTCAACAAGGGACAATAGCAAATATTAATTTCACTGGGCTGTCCTCACATCCCCGCTAAAAGTTTCACGTTTAGTGGGTTAAATGGCAATCCGCGCTAAACACTGACAAGCTAAAACGCTAAGGGCATGGCTTGGCCCCTTTTGAGCATCCGTTTTTGAGGCCCAAGTTTCAAGCAAGGCATGAAAGCAAAACGCCTCAAAGCGAGTGCATGCCAAGCCCAAACCGCAAAACACATAGCTCACTCGGCGGCGCATTCTTCATGATCTGCATCGCGCAGTCCATGGTGCTCTTGTAGAGTTTCTTGGCCTGGCGCTACTTGGGCTCGAACTACTCAAGTAGGTTTTGACCATGATCTAGGTCCTCCAGTAGAGAGGTTAGAAGAAGGGTACCAACTTTTTTCCGTAGTCTATTTTAGTAGGGGAACCCTCCCGCAAAAAAGGGCAAAATGGCACTACTGGGGGACCCAGTGACTATCAGGGGACAACCACCCCACTGACATGGGTATACCCTCGGTTGAACATCCGAGGAATCGAAATTCCGAAGGCGCTTCGGCAGAACGCTTCGATGAAGGATACCGGACATGTAGCGACGAATCTCGGAACTTGGATGTCCAACCAGCTTAAGCAGGGTAACTGTGGTGATCGGCCCCTTTTGACCATGTTCTAACCTACTTGGAAAGTAGTTTGGACCGACTCGCAAGGACTCACTGGGTGGTCGGAGCCCCAAATGGCACCGGGCTTAACAATTCCTTGGCTGAATGATTCTCACCCTTTCTTGGGAAACCACCAAAAACAGTTCCCCGGATCCATAACAGCTGAAGGAAATGGAACACTGGTTGGGGAGGTAGCCATAAGGAGCAGAGACGGTCCCTCCAATGAAACAGCGAGAAGATGAATGGTTGGTTTCCGATTTTCCCCGGGTCTGCGCGGAACACCTCAAGCAGCTTCAGTGCATGTATCAACCGGGCCTGTCTCTTTTCACGGAAACCCTTGACACAAACCCGCCTACCAACTGGTGCAATTTCGTCCCACAGAAGTGAGCACCCCAAACCCTAAGACTCCAGTGAGGTAAGCAACTCTCAGGGACGGGCATTCACGCACATGTGCTTGAGACATGCCGCTCCAACAACAAAAGTAACAAGCAGGAATCCAACCAAATCCTGTTCACCAAGCACCACTTAGGCAGAATGCGATCAGTTGCTGGCAAATATCGCCATAAGCCAAGCTGACCACTTGCGAAGTGACCTGATTTGAGCAAACGGGAGCGGGCACGTCATTCCCACCGAACACAATAATTGTAGAAATGACTGCGCGCAACCCCTCGACAACCAAGACTATGCCAAACTCCCCCCCTTTTTGAGGTTCAGTGGAGATAAGACCAAATCGGGGCTAAGGGAAAATACCCTGCCAAACAACAAGAGCAAATCGGTTGGTGACAAGGGTAGCTATCGGGCGCCTTAGATGCAGGCCCGGCATGTCCACCAGCATTACCAACCCCAGCACCACCACCAGCACCACCAGCACCACCAGCACCACCAGCACCACCAGCACCACCAGCACCACCAGCACCACCAGCGGTATTGCCAGCACCACGACCAGCAGCAACAGTAGCAGCAAACCCCGTCCACACAATGCCCATCGACTTGGCAAGCTCTCACTTCCCCCGGTTCCGCCTCCTCTCCCTGCATTCTGGTCTTCACAGTGTCCTGCACGCCCAGGGTCCATTAATTCAGAGCCAAAAGAAGGGAAGCCATGGGAAGCCATGGGAAGATGATGGCCCTTTAGGCTCCAATAGTCAATAGTCACTCGTCCTCAAAACAAGTCAGGCCGCATGGCTCCCTATGGCTCTGAGTCCCTCTCCTGGGGCATGGTGCAAAGCACCGACACAGCGCCCGCAAAGGCGCCCGCGGTGCCGTTGTAGAGGGGGTTGGCGTCCAGGCTCTTGTCCCCTCCTGGCGAGTGCTGTCTTTACCGGTGACATCTCTATGGGTAAATCACCTTTCCTTGTCTCAGGTGGCAAAGGGCACAGCCCGTGCACCTGTAGGGGGGAATGCACCTGTAGGGGGGAATTACTGGTTGACCAAGAGACATGCGACTTGTTTCATCTTGGCTGGCGTTATCTTGGCCGGGCACCTGGGAAACAGGTCCCCTGATAGGTACGCCTCAGGGAGTGTATACTGCCCACTGGGGTGCGGGGATTTGCGGGTTTGGGGGGTTGCGGCTTTCGGGTGTGTGGCGGGGTGTGTTTCGGGGGCTGGGGGTGGGGTGGACATGCATGTCTGGGCCAAAGGGCAGCGGTGCTGAATGGCAACGGACCCTTATGCTGGACAAAGAGAGTGTTGGACAGATGGCCAGGCAATCACTTTTGACGGAGCTTTCAGGCGTTCCATCAATATTGAGAGACGGAGAGGTGATTCATGTGTGAGAATCGGTGTTGAGTGAACACTATGTTGCGGGGATTTGAGTCTTTAAGGACTTTCGCGGCCAAACCATCTATATCTTGCTGGTGCTCAGTCGGGAATGAGGGAATGAACCCAGGGGTTCCCTTAAAGGAAACCACAAGTTGGATGTTTTCAATGGGGGTCGGGGGATTTTGCTGGGAGCCCTCCCGAAGGGGTGGAATTCCTCCTCAATGGGCCAGGTGGACTGCTTCCTTGCTGTACCCTGCCCCATCTAGGGTGTCTTTTAGACACCCCACATGAGCGACCTCAGTTTTCTTCTTGGTGTCTTACCCCCCGCTCACCAAAAAAAGAAAGAACAAAACAAAGGAGGTACCTCGAAAAAGACACACCTGGATATGTTTTGCCTTGTTCTAGACAGTTTACCTTCTAGGTTTGACTCGGTCTGCGCAGGATTCCCGGTGAAACCTTTCGGTGCAGACTTTGTCCCCATGCGTAGATTTATCGGATATGGCAACTGGAAGTTCCGGTGCGCGACCTTGTCCAAAATGAGTGCGTCTGTTTTAAAGCCCAGCCCAAACACAAAGTGTGGAATTTGGGTAGTTGAGTTTTCTCGTTTCTAGCCCCGGCTCAGCACAAGGCCTCCCTCATGTGGCTCTGAAGAGGTTGGCTGGGAACCCTTGCTTCGCTCTCAGGTTGGGGGCAACAGGCGGTATCCAAATTGTCAATGTGGTTTCCAATTGTGGTTTCCACTTCACAACCACCACAAAAGGGTACCTTAAAAAAGATTGACCTTTGCCAAAGATGGTTCTACAATGCGGAACCCGCAAGCTTGGCAGTGAATGACTCTTTGAATTTTCGGGGTTTTGGGTAGCTGCCTTCTGAAGATTTTGGCATGTATGCCAAAACAAGAAGAAAAAGACAGCCTCAGATTGCAACTGGTGGGCAGCGAGTGTGGTCTTTTTCAAGAGTCACTTTCCGGGAATTCTCACAAAACAGGGGACCCCCAATGCCGGGGTATGGCGCACCCAGAACCTGAAGTGATGCGAATCCACCTGAAGCTCTTCCATGTCGGCCTGAGGACCCCAGTCAATATCTTGATGGTTTCTTGGAGGATCCCCTGTGCAATATACATATATATATATATGTATTTACGTATACTTAATGTTGGGTTCAGGCCCAAAAAAGAATGGTGGGCGGAAAAAAATCAGAGAATGACAGTTTATGAGGTAAACAACCGTGTTTTGATATGAACCCCTGTTGATCTCATGGTTCGAATTTCAGGATGAAACCGTACGTTGGCTCCCCATGTCCGGCCTGTGAGATACTGCTTCGCGTAGAACTGCACCGGGAATCTTACCGCCTGGTTCGTGGCCTCGCGCGAGCCAAGAGGTGCAGAAAACCGGGGCGGAGTCCAAGCCATGGGAAATCAGTGTTGGTTCGTCTAGTAGAGAGGTTAGAATAAGGGTACCGTTTCTTTTTTCTGTAGTCCATTTTAGTAGGGGAACCCTCCCCCGACAAAGCGTAAAGGGCACTACTGGGGGAACTTGGAATTTACTGGGGAATCATCAAGCCAGGGTTTCTCCAGGTTTCTTAGGTGCAAGATTTTGCCCATCCACAGCATGTATGATCAAACCTGTGTGAAAACCAACATTGTGTTGCGTTGAACTTTCCCCGATTCTGTGAAACGCTGCCAAATTGGAGAATCCAGAGAGTGTCGTTTCCAGCAGTTTCTGTTGCAACCTGTGTTTCAAAGGCGGGCCGTGGTTCCAAAAGGCTGGATGTCGAAAACAACATAACAACAACAGAAGTGGACGTCTGGTTTGGTTTGATGCAATATCCTCAGCCTGCTTTGGTTGTTCACTTGCTAGGGCCCTTGAAGTGGTTGCATGATGCGGAATTCCAAGCAACCACTTTTGGGTCCTAGGGGTTTCCCTTTCAACCACTATTTAAAAGCTAGTTTCGAGAATGCACGCTCACTCCCACTAAGATGGCATTTGACAAGAGGAAACCAATGTTCCAGGTACCCTTGCATGCTATGTTCGTAGAAGAGAGGGTAACTTTACTGCACCCGGACCAAAAATTGCTGTTCTGCAGCCTCGCACGAGAAGAAGACCAACGGAACCAAACCAAAAGTTTTAGAACACAGCTACACATGCGTGGTGACCCTTCCAAAGATGGCTTGGCGCAGAAACCTTGTTTTTTTCTCGAAGGTTGGAGAAAAAACTTGCAGATGAACCGACCACACCTAGTCAATTGCGGTAGGTGGAAAGGCGGATCTTACTTGTATCTAGGGCATCCATCACATCTGCATGCACACAGACACGCATGCCATAATTCTCTAGCTGAACTTGTATTGGGGCGCGGAGCCGTTCGCTTTGAGTCAAGCTGTTTGAGACCAATTGCCGCTTGATGCTCAAACATGGAAGACCCTTAGCAACGCCTCGGCAAGGCACGTTTGTGGGAGCAACCCCTCAAGGCCTTAAGGCAATCCCGAAGCAGGGGGTTGTTTGTTGGGGGGAGGCTCATTGGGGGTTGGATTGAAAAACCTTGTTGCGCGAATCCTCCTGAACAGGGAAATGTCGTTTACCTCCCATAGAAATCGTCAAGTTCACAAACCCGTTCTCGGCTAAACCCTGAATGACGTAATGTAACCTTGTGTTTGGCCCAAACGGAAAACGATGAACGCCTCCCGTCTCAAAAAACAACAGTTTCTTGTTTCCCCCAAATCTGAAGGAAACCAATGGTTCAATTCAAAAGAAGCCCAGCAGAAAACAGCAATCTTTCCCCTCCATCCCTCCCTCGTTCCCGCCTCAACAAAGCACACCCAAAAGAAACCAACACCTCTGAAGCGTGTTTGTTGCCGCCGCCGCCGCCGCCGCCGCTCAAACCGCTCTCTCAAAACGCTTCGGCAGGGGAAACGCGTGCCTGCTTGGCGATGGTGGGCACCAGGCCCATGTACAAGCCCGCCGGGCCCTCGTTCTTCAAGATCTTCCTGGCTGAGCGCGTCTCACCGCCGTCAATTTGACGCTTCCCTCAATTCGGGGAAAAACCGCGGCGTAGGTCCAAAACAGTGTGAAGGGTATAAAAAACAGGTCAAAAAAGGGGGCGCTCCCTCAATGTTGGCAGCTTTCTCTACTTTGAGCGAAAACAAGTCGGAGAGGTCATAGGATTTCATCCAACCCAAATGGTGCGAAACTCTTTGTGCAAGGATACACCAACACAAAACTAGCAGCTTTGCCCCCTGTGAAAAACATCCTCAAGGGCCTCCTGGCAAACCTGGCAGACACCTGCAATCGACTTGGCAGAAGGGAAGACCCCAAACACACTCAACCCATGCCAAGAACACACGGTGGAGTACTGACTGCCTCTTTGTGAAGGGGGTCAGTATGGGTCAGTGCGTTTTAAGGACGAACAGGGGTGTGCAAGATATCCTTCCTCATGTGAAAGCCTCGACTCCTCGGGCCAATTCGCCGGCCTTTCCTTTCGCTCTCAAGGTGATGTTCCTTTCACCACTTGTAGTTGATCGACTTGGAGCCCAAAAACTGTTCCTCCAGCTTCTGGAGCTTCCAACAGGGGTCACAGGATGTCCCTTCAAAGGCTCCGTGGAACTTGGTTGTTGACCCCTCTGCAAAAGTCTAACTTTTTGTGGGTTTAGTGGAAATCTCCTTGATTTCCCGAAAAGTCAAAGTCTAAAGATCCAACCCAATAGCAATCGACCCCTGGCAAGCTCCGCCCTTTTCAATCGGGGCCGAGGTGCATCACCGCATCGAAGGACCCGGTGTAGTTCTTGGTGCCGCGGCGCATGTCATCCGTGACTCTGGTCTTCAAGGTCCTGGGTGCTAAGCCATGCGGCGGCTCGCGCAGTGGCGGTGTCTGCACCAGATCTTGGCCTAGAGAAAAATGGTGCGCAAAAAAATGCTAACACCTTTTCTGACACTGTCTCGCACGTTGCCTAAAAACTAGTTTGGAGGAGACCCCTGAACTTGGCTGTTGCAAAAGACAGGGGCCCTCCATCATTGCATTCTGAACAGGCCTAAAGGACCCAGAAATAGGAAGGTCAACCTTGTGAGCTCATGTCTTAACATGGACCAAAAAAGGGTAGAACCAAAAGTAGAAAAAATGTCATTTCAGGCCGGCTTGGGGCTTGCAAGTGAGTGTTTTAGCACGCCACACACTGCTTCGGCGGTGGCTTTGTTCAGGCGCAAAGGCTGCAACACCGCGACCTTCGGAGAGTGCCCGTTCACCCTGGGAATAGCCCTACCTAGTAGAAGCCGTCCATGATAAGCCGCAAGAAAAAAGACAACCTATCAAACTGACTTTGATAACCCCTCACCCCCTCAACCCCCCCCCCAAAAAAAAAACAACAACAACAACAACAACAACAACAACAACAACAACAACAACAACAACAACAACAACAACAACAACAACAACAACAACAACAACAACAACAACAACAACAACAACAACAACAACAACAACAACAACAAAAACAACACAACAACAACAACAACAACAACAACAACAACAACAACAACAACAACAACAACAACAACAACAACAACAACAACAACAACAACAACAACAACAACAACAACAACAACAACAACAACAACAACAACAACAACAACAACAACAACAACAACAACAACAACAACAACAACAACAACAACAACAACAACAACAACAACAACAACAACAACAACACAACAAACAACAAACAACAAACAACAAACAACAAACAACAAACAACAAACAACAAACAACAAACAACAAACAACAAACAACAAACAACAAACAACAAACAACAAACAACAAACAACAAACAACAAACAACAAACAACAAACAACAAACAACAAACAACAAACAACAAACAACAAACAACAAACAACAAACAACAAACAACAAACAACAAACAACAAACAACAAACAACAAACAACAAACAACAAACAACAAACAACAAACAACAAACAACAAAAACAACAAACAACAAACAACAAACAACAAACAACAAACAACAAACAACAAACAACACAACAACACAACAACAACAACAACAACAACAACAACAACAACAACAACAACAACAACAACAACAACAACAACAACAACAACAACAACAACAACAACAACAACAACAACAACAACAACAACAACAACAACAACAACAACAACAACAACAACAACAACAACAACAACAACAACAACAACAACAACAACAACAACAACAACAACAACAACAACAACAACAACAACAACAACAACAACAACAACAACAACAACAACAACAGAACAACAACAACAACAACAACAACAACAACAACAACAACAACAACAACAACAACAACAACAACAACAACAACAACAACAACAACAACAACAACAACAACAACAACAACAACAACAACAACAACAACAA